TTTTTGGCAGAGAAGTTATCACTGAATCAGTTGTCAGAGTGAGAGGAATGTTTGGCAGAGACGTTATCACTGAATCAGTTGTCAGAGTGAGAGGAATGTTTGGCAGAGACGTTATCACTGAATCAGTTGTCAGAGTGAGAGGAATGTTTGGCAGAGACGTTATCACTGAATGAGTTGACGGAATGATAGGAATGTGACTGGTTTCTTAAGCACTTATTTCCTTGTATATTCTGAATTCTTTAAGCCCTTTTCCCCCTTGCATTGCCTTGGTTCTTATAGCCTTATATCTTGTGATTGCCTTAGTTTGAACTCGATCATGGACGTCTTTCCTGGTGTGCTCACCACCAACCGCACACAAAAAAAGCTGTCATTATTTAATCTATTGCCTTATCTTCTTAGATTTAGATTTGAAATGATGTTTCTCCATAGAAAGTTAAATCCCACAGAATTCATTGTTACTTTTTATACTTCAGCATGCCCTTTATGCGTCCAAATTTTTTTGCAGATTGTTAATGTTAATATTTCACCATCACCACATCATTATTTTCATTAGGTTTCGTGTCATTTCTTCCGCTGCTAGTTCCTATCATAATTTTTTCCAACTATGAACTCATTATTTTTCAATACCCCAGAATAATTTCTCATTAAATCCTTGTAGCAATCACTTCCGACTCCAGGCAGATTCTTTTTTACTGAACCTGAAATCGTGTACTTTCAAAAATGATTACCCAGACTTTCTCCCATTTTGTTGATGATAAGTCAGATTTCCCCCTTCTTGGGCTGATTACACAGACTTTCTTCCTTCATGTAGATGACCACCAATACTTTCTCCTATCTTGTGCATGATTGCCCAGACTTTCTCTCTTCTTTTGGATGATTAATCAGACTTTCTCCCTTCTTGTAGATGATTACCCAGACTTTCTCCCTTCTTGTAGATGATTACCCAGACTTTCTCCCTTCTTGTAGATGATTACCCAGACTTTCTCCCTTCTTGTAGATGATTACCCAGACTTTCTCCCTTCTTGTAAATGATTACCAGACTTTCTCCCTTTCTTGTAGATGATTGCCCAGACTTTCTGCCATGCTGTAAAATCTTCACATGAGTTTATAATTGTTTTATTTATTAAGGAACACAAATGTAACCCATGTTTTCACAGTCATATCAAGAACATGAGGATCTTACTTCTTGTTTTGATGTCAATGCTGGGTGCGTCCGTCTGCAATGAATACTGCCGGACAAACTGCTTGGGTGCTCTCGGGGAACTTAACACTTTGGGAACCGTTGGTCTAAACGCAATAAACAAATTGACTGAATTAAAATAATTCTTTGTCGATTGAGTTAAATTAATGGTTGAACGGTGAACTTAAAATAATGGTTTATTAATGTACTTAATATGCTGTAGATAGAGATGACTCTTATAAAAGGGAACAAAAAAATATGTTTCGGTTATTTCGATATGACAACCTATTCTATTCAATCCATTCTATTCAACCTATTCTATTCAAATGATAACCTGGGTTATTTTAGGATATTTATTTACATGTGAGTCACGTGACTGGGCTATACATATCATTAATATTTGTGGGTTTTGTTGAATGGGAAAAGGGGGGGGGGGGGGGTAATCCAATATGATCTTGAGCAGAAGCAAAAAATTTAAAGGAAATGGTAGAAAGTGTTTTGGGGTCATATTTGACTATCTATGTACTGACTGTAAGAAATGGACCGGGAAAAATTACTCCCACAATGATCGACAGTGTAAATGTTTCTATGTATGATCATAAGCAGGAGGAATTAAACGCTGCCACTGATGATGAATGTCATACAATAAACTAACGTTATAAAATATGAGCATGGTAATAGAGACGTACTCATATGGATACTTTACATTTTTTAGCTACAATGCTTGGATTATGCTTCATATTCGTTCATTTTGAGGTCAACATTTTATGTTAAATGCGTCCGTAAAAAATTGTTTTTGTCCGTAAATTTTGTTGAGAGTTCTTATATTTTTCAGTAATTGTTATTTTATTGAGTTGGCAACCCTGATCTCTAGCTATCTTGGGAACATCGGAGCTGTTTACTTACTTAGTTGTTGCATTCGTAGCACTGTCTTGGGGAAATTGGGGGGGGGGGGTGGGGGTTTGGGGGGGGTTGAAGGGGGAGGGGGTTTAAGGGGGGTCGAGTCAAACTTTACATGAAGAAAAGAAACAGCAAAGAAACAGCAAAGAAATGGGAGGTGGGGGGGGGGTGGGGGGGGGGGGGGGGGGGTGTGGGAGGAGTGGAAGGGGGAGGCGGTTTAAGTGTGGTCGAGTCAAACTTTACATGAAGAAAAGAAACAGCAAAGAAACAGCAAAGAAACAGTAAAGAAACAGCAAAGAAACAACAATGCAGCAACAAAGAAACAGCAAAGAAACAGCAAAGAAACAACAATGCAACAACAAAGAAACAGCAAAGAAACAACAGCTAAACAACAAAGAAACGTGTACGTGGGCAAATTAATTGTCTTGCCAGTAGACTCAGGAAATTTGAAAAACTGCAATGACTTGACCAGTGCTCATAAATCCCACGAAGAACAGTTGACCCATTTTAATAGACTTAACATTTTAAGCACTTTTGCTAAATAATGATATATATGGCCTACTCCCGTCTTCACAGGGCCATGGAGTAGCTATGTGCACTTCAACAAAGGGCTCACTAGGCCTGGGGAGCTAAATAATTCCACTAGCTCAAAAAGCTGAGGTATCACCTGTTCAGATTAATTAGGTTTAAAATGACTTTAATAAACGTGAAATGCTTCAGTTGCATTAAATTAAGGCTGCAACTATTCGTACCCGGGTACTAGAAGTGTGAGGTTTGGATTAAAAAACGATTTAAAATGTTATTGTTGGGTTTGTAATACAAAACGAAATATTAAATGAAATATAATTGAATGAAATATATGTTTCTAAACGTAATTCTCCAGTTTAAATAAAATAAACTACCACAAATGACATTCGAATAGCATCGAGTCAAAATGGACCCAGGCACGCAGCGCCGCCATTCGCACCCGGGTACCATTAGTCTCAGGCTATTCGGATGTCATTTGTGATAGTTTATTTTAGTTAAACTGAAGAAGTCACTTTACAAACCTATAGTCCTTTCAATTAGCTTTCATTTGATACCTCATTTTGTCTTACAAACCCAAAAATAAAATTTTAAATAGTTTTTTAAACCCAACCTCTCACTTCTTGTACCCGGGTACGAATAGCCACTTCGTTAAATTAAATATGCTGTTATATGTTATACTGAGACCTTAAATTATGTCATTATGTTCTATTATTTGGGTTATGAAATCTATTATTCTGTGAATAATTTCTTATAAATAGGAGGAGGGGGCAAAAAGATTGAGTTTATTTCTCAAAGGGGTTGTCACTAGAAAAATAGTTTTAGAACCACTGAGGTATATTCTTCTGTTCCTTTTCCACTCCAAGTAGAGCATATGCCGTTAACCATTTATTTAACTTCCAGTGGAGCATGTGGCCTTTAAAATTGTGTTTCCAGAACAACTGATGAATAGTATTGCGTTAACTCTCTGTCGGACATAGAAATCACCATTGTATTTGTGTTGAGTAGTGAGTGTTATTAATTTAAAGCAACAATTTAATGATGGCATGTACACGGAATGTTGTGTATCTTATGACATGTACACTAAATATGATTTATCTCATTACATGTACACTAAATGTGGTTTATCTCATGACATTTACACTAAATGTGGTGTATCTCATGACATGTACACTAAATGTGGTGTATCTCATGACATGTACACTAAATGTGGTTATCTCATGACATGTACACAGTCATGTGTTTTTTCTCAAACTTTCTAGAATGCGAGAGTGTTGCAAATCAGTACAGGTATGCGTGTATACGGGAAGTTGTTTCTTTACCTCAGTGACCGGTCACATTCACAACAGACAGGTGTCAAATAAACACAGTTGATGTGAAGCTCAATTATTTGTTTTATTCCCTTAACTCAATGAGCTGTCTCATATACAGACACATTTGTTTTATTCTCTTAACTCAATGAGCTGTCTCATATACAGACACATCTGTTTTTCCCTTAACTCAATGAGCTGTCTCATATACAGACACATTTGTTTTATTACTGTCATAATGGATCTTCTCCCTAAATGTTCACTTTACCCCAACCTTATGAGGACACATTTTACCCCCACCTAAGGAGGACACATTTTACCCCCACCTTTGGAGCACACATTTTACCACCACCTTAGGAGGACATAATTTACCCACCCCACCCCCCTTTGGAGCACAGACTTTACCCCATCTTAGGAGCAAACACTTTACCAAATGTTAGAAGCACACACTTTACCCCATCTAAGGAGCACACACTTTACCCCATCTTAGGAGCACACACTTTACCCCATCTTAGGAGCACACACTTTACCCCATCTTAGGAGCAAACACTTTACCCCATCTTAGGAGCAAACACTTTACCCCATCTTAGGAGCACACACTTTACCCCATCTTAGGAGCACACACTTTACCCCATCTTAGGAGCACACACTTTACCCCATCTTAGGAGCAAACACTTTACCCCATCCTAGGAGCAAACACTTTACCAAATGTTAGAAGCACACACTTTACCCCATCTTAGGAGCAAACACTTTACCCCATCTTAGGAGCAAACACTTTACCAAATGTTAGAAGCACACACTTTACCCCATCTTAGGAGCACACACTTTACCCCATCTTAGGAGCACACACTTTACCCCATCTTAGGAGCAAACACTTTACCCCATCTTAGGAGCAAACACTTTACCAAATGTTAGAAGCACACACTTTACCCCATCTTAGGAGCAAACACTTTACCAAATGTTAGAAGCACACACTTTACCCCATCTTAGGAGCAAACACTTTACCAAATGTTAGAAGCACACACTTTACCCCATCTTAGAAGCACACACTTTACCCCATCTTAGAAGCACATACTTTACCCCATCATAGAAGCAAACACTTTACCCCATCTTAGAAGCACACACTTTACCCCATCTTAGAAGCACATACTTTACCCCATCTTAGAAGCACATACTTTACCCCATCATAGAAGCAAACACTTTACCCCATCTTAGAAGCACACACTTTACCCCATCTTAGAAGCACACACTTTACCCCATCTTAGAAGCACACACTTTACCCCATGTTAGGAGCACATACTTTACCCCATCATAGAAGCACACACTTTACCCCATCTTAGGAGCATATACTTTACCCCATCATAGAAGCACACACTTTACCCCATGTTAGGAGCATATACTTTACCCCATCATAGAAGCACACACTTTGCCCCATTTGACAGATAATTGAACACCATTAAAAATGTAGTCCTACAACTTAATGTTTACATTTATAAAGCATCCATACGTTTACCTATCCTGTACCCTCATATTACCCTAACAATCTACTAACGCATATCAATCTGGGTTTGATTGACAGGAATGTCTAAGTTCAAAATATTTTTTATAAAAAATCTTCATCTGATATCTTCGTTGTTTGTCTTACTCTACACATTGTGTGATACACCAATTTTTTATGGTTTCAAAAATAATTTGTTATTATTGAAAATTCTTTGTTACACTGGTCAACACATTCCTTTTTACAAAAGTCATGTTACAGAAATTAAATGTGTCATTTTTTTTTAAAAAATCAGTTTTTATATGCTCAACACGAATATAACAGACAAATTGCAAAATTGGCAAAGTCCAGTCCATGTCTTCCACGAAGTTCTTCAAAAACTACTTCAATTTTGTGAGCCTTGAACAGAGCTGAGTGCTGGATATTCTTCTCTCCGACTGCTAAATTTTGTCTGCGAGTCAATTCCTTTTTTCAAGTGGAACAACTTTCTTGCTTGGCTATCCCGCTTACATCAGAAACACATTTATTTTTGGATATCCCAGCGGTGGTCCCATTCAAAGGGAAACTACCTTCCAATCCAAGGGGACAGCTGTACTTGTTATACTCAGTGCAATTCGGTAGCTGCTTTAAGTTATCTTATGTTTCTATCATGTGGAGCATGCGCTACTGAAAGAGATGGAAGAGGGCCTCCATTGTGCTAAAGCAAGGCCGTAAAACTCAATTTCAAAGAGTCTAATAATAGAGTGCATTCTTCTGGGTCATGAGTGATTTTTAAAGCATTCAAGATGTCCCCCATATCGTAACAGAACATCAGGTTAGTTTACTTTCTGAAAACAGGCTTTAGCTGCTGGTGGCGCTCGCGATTCAAATTAATTGTGACATTTTGTTCTAGAAGATTTCATTGTTGGAGTCCTTACCCTAGCAATTCTGGCTTTTTCTTAGGTAAGTCCAAATCACGCACCTGGCCATTTAGTTCTTCCTGTGTTAGTCTGTGTGGGGCTGATGATGTGCCACATTGAAAATCTGGATCACTGCATGCCGATGGTTGATGGGCTCTCTTCACACCCACACGAATTTTTATGGTCTGTTTCCATTCAACCACTGTGAAAGCTGTGTTGTACATGCAGTACACCATATGATATATGTGAAACATGGAAATTAAATCTTTGAATTATTTTTAAAACGAGAGCCACTACGCAATCACGTGTTATGTTCGTGTTGAGCACGCTAAGATAACACGTTAGGGACTTTTTAAGTCAGTGATGACATCAATGTAGACACGTGTTGTCACTCCCTCTTGAAGGTCTGCCTCATTGTTTCATTCCTACAGGTTGTGACCTGAAATAGAAAGGGAAATCACTCCATGTTTTTGAAAACTAGATTACGCCCATACTTGTAATAAACCGTAAACTTTCGGGGATAAATACAAGACACTAAATCTAAGAAAAATGTGCTGTAAATTTTAAAACTGGTGAAACTTCAAATAAATTTTCTCTCTTGCTAGTCATTTATATGTAAGTGTTTATTTACGTTATGTAAAGGGAAAATAGACGACATTAATGTATTTAAACGACTAAGGTAAGTGTTTACATGCACAAGTACAGTAACATTCCTATGAACCACCTCGGTAAATATTGATAGGAACGACCAAAGTAAATATTCCTATCAACAGCCACAGTACATATTTACATGAACAATTAGTACAGAAGATCTTTGAAAGATAAATGGAAACAGAGATCGTATGATTTAAGCTGGTCTTACTGCGGTCATGACGTCACCATCTACAGATCGAGCTGTTGTCCAGGACAGTCCCTTCTCACTGTCCTCGTGTACGTCCGTCACGATCCCATCTTCAATATTCATTATAACCTTTATGTAAAAAATAAAAAATTATTTCGTTAATAGAAGTCAGTCAATTTAGAAAAAAAAATTAAAGTCTCTAAAATTTTACTTAGAAGGGGGGACAAAAGGAAACTAGGATGAGGGAATAATATAAAGGAAAAAAGAATGTACGAAGCATGAGAAATGGGGGGGGAGGAAGGAACGAAATGGAAGGCAAACAACAAAACAAACAACATAAAAAACAACAACAAAACAGACAACAGAAAAAACAGCAAAACAGACAACAGAAAAAAAACATACAACAGAAAAAAAAACAGACAACAGAAAAAACAAAAACAAAACAGACAACAGAAAAAACAACACAAAACAGACAACAGAAAAAAACCCAATAAAACAGACAACAGGAAAAAAAACCAATAAAACAGACAACAGAAAAAATAACAACAAAACAAACAACAGAAAAAACAACAACAAAACAGACAACAGAAAAAACAAAAACAAAACAGACAACAGAAAAAAACAACACATAACAGACAACAGAAAAAACAAAAACAAAACAGACAACAGAAAAAAACCCAATAAAACAGACAACAGAAAAAATAACAACAAAACAGACTACAGAAAAAACAACAACAAAACAGACAACAGAAAAAACAAAAACAAAACAGACAACAGAAAAAACAACAACAAAACAGACAACAGAAAAAACAAAAACAAAACAGACAACAGAAAAAACAACACAAAACAGACAACAGAAAAAAACCCAATAAAACAGACAACAGAAAAAATAACAACAAAACAAACAACAGAAAAAAACAACAACAAAACAGAAAAAACAACAAAACAGACAACAGAATAAAACAACATAAAACAGACAACAGAAAAAAACAACAACAAAACAGAAAAAACAACAAAACAGACAACAGAAAAAACAACAATAGAAAAGATAGTAACAGAAAAAAGAGTATTTATTTTGTGCATGACTGACAACAATAATGTATGCGAGCTTATATGTTGCGGATTTTAGCAACTATAAAAATGAGACTCTCGTTCACTACCTTACTGGACTTACACAGCTATAGAAATGAGACACTCGTTCACTACAATACGGAACTTACATACTCCCTGATGTACCCATGAAGGAAAAGCGTGGCTGACACATAGATTCCTTCAACGGTACATAAACCTACCTGGGGTTTTCAAGCAATGCTTTCATTGGGCATGTCTAGGTCAAAACATTCCTGATGACTTGACAAAAATAAAGATAGAAAGAAAGCAGAAACATTTACAAGAACATGTATGCCACACAGGACAAGCCTCATCAGCACCTCATCTCAAACTCTTAAAGTTTGAGAGCCGCTGTTCATCTGACGCCCCACCTTTACGATGCCGCCTGAGAGCCGCTGCTCATCTGACGCCCTACCTTTACGATGCCGCCTGAGAGCCGCTGTTCATCTGACGCCCTACCTTTACGATGCCGCCTGAGAGCCGCTGTTCATCTGACGCCCCACCTTTACGATGCCGCCTGAGAGCCGCTGTTCATCTGACGCCCCACCTTTACGATGCCGCCTGAGAGCCGCTGTTCATCTGACGCCCTACCTTTACGATGCCGCCTGAGAGCCGCTGTTCATCTGACGCCCTACCTTTACGATGCCGCCTGAGAGCCGCTGTTCATCTGACGCCCTACCTTTACGATGCCGCCTGAGAGCCGCTGTTCATCTGACGCCCTACCTTTACGATGCCGCCTGAGAGCCGCTGTTCATCTGACGCCCTACCTTTACGATGCCGCCTGAGAGCCGCTGTTCATCTGACGCCCTACCTTTACGATGCCGCCTGAGAGCCGCTGTTCATCTGACGCCCTACCTTTACGATGCCGCCTGAGAGCCGCTGTTCATCTGACGCCCTACCTTTACGATGCCGCCTGAGAGCCGCTGTTCATCTGACGCCCTACCTTTACGATGCCGCCTGAGAGCCGCTGTTCATCTGACGCCCTACCTTTACGATGCCGCCTGAGAGCCGCTGTTCATCTGACGCCCTACCTTTACGATGCCGCCTGAGAGCCGCTGTTCATCTGACGCCCTACCTTTACGATGCCGCCTGAGAGCCGCTGTTCATCTGACGCCCTACCTTTACGATGCCGCCTGAGAGCCGCTGTTCATCTGACGCCCTACCTTTACGATGCCGCCTGAGAGCCGCTGTTCATCTGACGCCCTACCTTTACGATGCCGCCTGAGAGCCGCTGTTCATCTGACGCCCTACCTTTACGATGCCGCCTGAGAGCCACTGTTCATCTGACGCCCTACCTTTATGATGCCGCCTGAGAGCCGCTGTTCATCTGACGCCCTACCTTTATGATGCCGCCTGAGAGCCGCTGTTCATCTGACGCCCTACCTTTACTATGCCACCGTCAGGAGAAGGGTAGTCTAATTTTTCCCCCGATCCAACGGTGATGGAGCCAGAAGGAGCCAACTGATTGTTGAATTTAAATGCGACGCGCACGACTTGTCCCTCCAGCGTGAAACTTAAAGAGTACTCAAGTCTCTTGAACATGTCGATCATGATCGGCGGGAAACCTGTACAAAATAAGGTCCAAAATTATGAACTCAGTGGTCTCACATTTTTAGGTTACAAGGCCAAGGAAATTGAAAGTCAAACATGAATGGTTAAATTGTGTGTGCATTTGTTAATATTACTTTGCATGATAAATTAATCTTGGAAAAAATGACTAATGAATTTGCTTCAATGAAGTTCAACATTTTAAATTTCTATCTAGCGTATAAACAATATTTTCTTTTGAACATCAAATTATTTAGAAATCGGTTAATTCTGGGGATTTTGTTAGATGAAAACGCAAGAAAAGATGAGGTCTCTGTCAAATATCAACTGTCTAGATTCTAAACTTTTTTGTTATTGTTGACGATCTTTGCAGGTTTAACAAGGGCCGATCTAGTTATGCCTACTCAAGTAACAAGAGCTGATGGGAAATTAGTCAAACAAATTTAGGTTAAACCTGAAAAAAAAGAACGCAACAAAACAACTAACGTGTCGGCGGGAAGCCTTCAGAAAAAAACAGAACACAGTTTTAAAATAGCACTAAGCTGAGAGGTAGTATCCAAGAGGACAGCAAATGAATTTGTGTTACTAATTTCTCATTGTGCTAAGCTGATTACAATATATCCCATTGTTACCCTTATTAACAAGAGCTGTTAACAAGAGCTGACCAAGTTATGTCTACGCAAGTGACAAGGACCGACCAAGTAACGTCTACGTAGTACACCTCCACAATGACATAGTAGACCTACCTGAAGGTGGCAGGTCACTCAGTGGGCTCCTTCAGTGAAAATTGAATAAACACGATTTAACTAAATCTCAGCTCCAATAATACTATTTTTAAATCCTTCATTTCACCGTGGAATGCGTTATATTCAGCTCTACTGATTTCATATCTTCAAAAACTACATACTTATTGTCTTTCTCTATTTCTTGTTGTTGTTTTTTTTAATTTAAATAATTTTTTTTGTGTTACTTGAAATATTGGTGTCTACATCCAGAGGGGTCACAAGGTTTGGATAAGGTCAATCTGTCCTCATTGTTTACATTCAGTGTGTCCTCATTGGATAAGGTCACTCTGTACTCGATGGATAATGTTAGTCTGTACTCACTGGATAAGACCACTCTGTACTCAATGGATAAGGCCACTCTGTACTCACTGATTAAGGTCAGTCCGTCCTCACTAGATAAGGTCAGTCTGTACTGCTTGGAAAAGGCCATTCTGTACACACTGGATAAGGCCACTCTGTACTCACCGGATAAGGTCACTCTGTACTCACTGGAAAAAGCCACTCTGTACTCACTAAATAAAGTCACTCTGTACTTACTGGATAAGGTCACTGTATTTGCTGGATGAGGTCACTCTGTAACCACTGGATAAGACTACTCTGTACTCATTGGATGAGGTCACTCTGTACTCATTGGATAAAAGCAACTTGTACTCACTCATGGATAAAGCCGCTATGTATTCAGATTTTCCTAGTTTCATTTTTTTAAATTTCTTCTCACACATGTAGAAAAGCCAAACAAGAAGTTACAGCCAAAGATTGTAATGTTTACTCAAACAAGTAGGTAGTGCCAAAGATTGTAATGTCTACTCAAACAAGTAGGTAAGGCCAAAGATTGAAATGTCTGCTCAAACAAGTAGGTAGTGCCCAAGATTGAAAATTCTGCTCAAACAAGTAGGTGGTGCCAAAAGATTGAATTGTCTACTCAAACAAGTAGGTAGTGCAAAAGTTGAAATGTCTGCTCAAACAAGTAGGTAGTGCCAAAGATTGTAATGTCTACTCAAACAAGTAGGTAGTGCCAAAGATTGAAATGTCTGCTCAAACAAGTAGGTAGTGCCAAAGATTGAAATGTCTACTCAAACAAGTAGGTAGTGCCCAAGATTGAAAATTCTGCTCAAACAAGTAGGTGGTGCCAAAAGATTGAAATATCTACTCAAACAAGTAGGTAGTGCAAAAGATTGAAATGTCTGCTCAAGCAAGTAGGTAGTGCCCAAGAATGAAAAGTCTGCTCAAACAAGAAGGTAGTGCCAAAAATTGAAATTTCTCTTAACACAAGTAGGTACTTCCAAAGATTGAACTTAATCCAGGAGTAAAGCTTTTTAATGATTGATCACCTATGATCTTTTTATTAAAGGTAAATCAAATTCATTTTTTGATTTATAAAGTTCAACAAATCATTGAATTACAGATTCATCTCCTTCACCTGAAGTGAACAGCACAACCAGCCATAGAAGGATTTGGGACAGATTCAAGGAAGTCACACTCAATTAAATTATTATTTTTTAACTTAAAATATTGACCAATCTTTGGCTTCGTCGTCAGGGGCGGAGACCCCTTAACCTGGCCAAAAAGATTGTACACATCCAATGATGACAATAATTATTAATAACAAAACAGAGACGCCTCCGGTTGATTTTTTATAAATAAATATATTTAAATGCTATTGACGTAGGAGATTATTCAAAAGTTATTTTTTAAGTGAACGCCGCTATATCATGACTCACTCAGAGCGTAACAAAAGGGACGTGACTAAACAATGGGGAAAAACGCACCGGTCACCATGGCGGCACACTGCTCTTGTATTTAACTTGGGTATCTGATGCAGCCAACTTCGTAAATGTTTGACCTAAACTGACCTGCCCGTAATTGTCTGGGATAACGGTGTGCATTAGACAATGAGACATTATGGTGCAGCCATTTAAACCTTTATACTGATTAAAAAGAACAAAACTGGTGAGAATACCTTCAATTTATTCAGAACTGTTGAGAATACCTTCAATTTATTCATAACTGATGAGAATACATTCAATTTATTCAGAACTGTTGAGAATACCTTCAATTTGTTCTGAACTGGTGAGAATACCTTTAATTTGTTCAGAACTATTGAGAATACCTTCAATTTATTCAGAACTTGTGAGAATACCTTGATTTTGTTCACAACTGGTGTGAATACCTTGATTTTGTCCACAACTGGTGAGAATACCTTGGTTTTGTCCACAACTGGTGAGAATACCTTGGTTTTGTCCACAACTGGTGAGAATACCTTGGTTTTGTCCACAACTGGTGAGAACACCTTTATTTGCTGGACTAAATCACAAGGCCGGGGATTTTTTACTTTGAGATGATAAGATGGTTCAATAGCCCCCCCCCTCTCTCTCTCTCTCTCTCTCTCTCCCCGCTCCAAACATATTGATAATCCAAGGGCACATCGTGTGTTGATGATACACTCGGCACCAGCAGCGTCGAAGGAGTTACCGGAATTCTCATTGTGTCAATGCCATACCGCCTATGGGACCCCATCGCCGTGTTTAATTTTACATCCGGGATTCTGATGGATGTGTTTAATTGTCTACGCTTTTGCTGTGGATTAAACTCGACCACCCAGCATCCATTTGACTTACCATTTTACCATACATTAAGCAAAGGTTTACAAATAGGTTCTTGTATCGTGGTCAAATGCCACAGAGTCCTAGTCATAGATAAAAATGTAATTTATATTTGACATGGTACATATGTAGCACTTTAAAATCATCTAATGGGAGCAGAGGTGGGGGGGGGGTGCTATGTTACAAACATCAGAACAAATCAACAACTTACCCATGGCTCTGCCCATCTCGTCAGCACCCATTGTCTCAGAAACCTGAACTCTCCATTCACCAATAAACTTTTTAGCCGTCTCCACGTCCACTGGCATGATGAAGTGACGCAGCAGAAATTCAAAGAGTGAATACAAATTAGTTAAAACATTTGCAGCTCTTCAACTATTAACCAACAAAGTGTTTTATGACCGTCTCATAGCGCATGCATCTATTTTTTTTTATTTTTTACACTCACAATTCCTTAGAATAACAAAAGACGGATAATTTGGTGAGCGACAGAGACACCTGCGTAGGTTTCAATTATGTTATCTTTCCTACTGACCTACTTTCAGAAAACTGATTGTACTACTGATTGCGTCGTTTCCCTAGAAAACTTTAACACCAATCAACACAGAAATCATCCGTGTGAATGTCTTGTTTATTTATAGTGCTTATAGTTTGTGTTATCTCACATGGGCGTAACAGTGTTACATTAGTGTTTTACTTCTGCGTTTCCTAAAGCATGATTACTCGTTCCAGATAACAGCCTGTAATGATAGCAAGAAAGTTACCATAGAAAGGTTTCGAGGATATATCCGCCCCTTCCCATTAACATGTAATTAATTCAGATGGTTATTGTTCAAACTAAAGTCACGTGATGCATAATGGGTAATAAGCCGAATACACACCTCTACCCCTCCCCCCACCCCCCCCCCCCCCCNTGGTTGGTGTGTCCCCGGAGAAGACTGGCCTTGGTTGGTGTGTCCCCGGAGAAGACTGGCCTTGGTTGGTGTGTCCCCGGAGAAGACTGGCCTTGGTTGGTGTGTCCCCGGAGAAGACTGGCCTTGGTTGGTGTGTCCCCGGAGAAGACTGGCCTTGGTTGGTGTGTCCCCGGAGAAGACTGGCCTTGGTTGGTGTGTCCCCGGAGAAGACTGGCCTTGGTTGGTGTGTCCCCGGAGAAGACTGGCCTTGGTTGGTGTGTCCCCGGAGAAGACTGGCCTTGGTTGGTGTGTCCCCGGAGAAGACTGGCCTTGGTTGGTGTGTCCCCGGAGAAGACTGGCCTTGGTTGGTGTGTCCCCGGAGAAGACTGGCCTTGGTTGGTGTGTCCCCGGAGAAGACTGGCCTTGGTTGGTGTGTCCCCGGAGAAGACTGGCCTTGGTTGGTGTGTCCCCGGAGAAGACTGGCCTTGGTTGGTGTGTCCCCGGAGAAGACTGGCCTTGGTTGGTGTGTCCCCGGAGAAGACTGGCCTTGGTTGGTGTGTCCCCGGAGAAGACTGGCCTTGGTTGGTGTGTCCCCGGAGCTAGCGGGAATAAACAGATGCTTGGCTAATCTTCATATGAATAATTAATCAAAGAAAAAGTAAATGCGGGTAAAGTGTTCAGATATGAATGTTGGACCAATCGTTTTGAGGACAGCTAACCAGTGGCCTGTTGTGTCATTAACTAAACACCGCTTCAGCCTATCAAGTCATCACGGCCCCATGTACAAAACATTGCGTAGCAGACTGGTGCAGTTTAGCATAGTGCTAACCATTCTTTTAAATTTTTTTTAATGACTTTTTAATTAGATTTTATAATTTGTTTACAAAACTAAATAAAAATTCTTTAAAAAGTATTTCGTTAAAAAAACAAACCTCATTGATTATAAATTGTTTCTCTTGTTTAGTAAGAAGCTTTAGCCTAATGGACTCGAGGGTATTGCTTTGTGTCATGACCTCAACACAATATGTTTCCGTCAAGTTTAATAGGTCAATCAAGTTATTAATGTGTATATCGTTTACTTTGCACACTACTAACCATTTATCTCTAATGACATTGTTTTATTTTATTTTATTTTTTTTCATTTTCGTTTCTCTTGTTCATCAGAATACATGTTTGAGAAGCTCTGACCCACAAATGTCCCTAAGCCTGATAGATTGCACTTATCCAGGCATAGGTCTGGCTGGCCATTCATCGAAGGGGTTTACTTCACGATAGCTATCTAACATACAATCAAGGTATTTCTCTTTCGTTGGTTTGAAATCTGAACAAATCTTCAGCTTGGAAAATTGGGTGACAAATGGGTAAGAGTCTAAAAAAATCCACCTTTATACATTTTTTATATGAAAGCTTAAGCCAAATATGTCATTATGTAAGTGGTGCTGATTTGGACAAGTAAATGTGTACTTAAAAACTGTATTTACTTGTTGCTTCATTCAAGTTGAAAATCAAAACACTTGTTTTTATTTTTAATTTTTAAAATAATTTTTTTTTTTAAATTTTAAAAATAAGAAAGAGGTAGATCGCTGATCCCCACCTTGGGTGCTCGCTCCCAACAGGGTGGCAGTCAGCTGAAGAGGGTGCAAAGTTACGTCATAAAAAATTATTGGTGATGCTTTGTTACGTTTATTTTTGTTTTTTAAATTTAGTATTTATTTATTTATTTATTTATTTATTTATTTATTTATTTATTTATTTATTTAATTATTTATTTATTTATTTATTTATTTATTTATTTATTTATTTAATTATTTATTTATTTATTTAATTATTTATTTATTTATTTATTTATTTAATTATTTATTTTTTTATTTAATTATTTATTTATTTATTTATTTATTTATTTAATTATTTATTTATTTATTTATGTATTTATTTATTTAATTATTTATTTATTTATTTATTTATTTATTTATTTATTTAATTATTTATTTATTTATTTATTTATTTAATTATTTATTTATTTATTTATTTATTTATTTATTTAATTATTTATTTTTTTATTTAATTATTTATTTATTTATTTATTTAATTATTTATTTATTTATTTATTTATTTATTTAATTATTTATTTATTTATTTATTTAATTATTTATTTATTTATTTAATTATTTATTTATTTATTTATTTATTTATTTATTTATTTATTTATTTATTTATTTAATTATTTATTTATTTAATTATTTATTTATTTATTTATTTATTTATTTATTTATTTATTTATTTATTTAATTATTTTGTTTGAGGGGGGCGGGGGGATTGTATTGGAAAACAACGTGTTTCAAAAGATCTAATTTGCTTAATTCGTACGCAGATGACTTGTAGGAGAGCAAGCAATTTGATTTAGGCGTCGCAGTCATTTCCAACTTCAAAGCAGATGATCCTAAAACATTACCAATTACATTTAGCAAACTATCAGATCCAGATACTGTAGACATGGCTGACAGCAAACCATCTGATCCAGATACTGTAGCCATGGCTCATAGCAAACCATCAGGTCCAGATACTGTAGCCATGGCTGACAGCAAAACATCTGATCCAGATACTGTAGCCATGGCTGACAGCAAAACATCTGATCCAGATACTGTAGCCATGGCTCATAGCAAACCATCAGGTCCAGATACTGTAGACATGGCTGACAGCAAACCATCAGATCCAGATACTGTAGCCATGGCCAATAAAGTGAAAAAGAGCCAAGGTGAGTGGTATTAAATAATACTATTAAGACGACGTCATTAAGATAATGTGAATGGGGTTCCAACCCATACTCTCGTGCCCAAAGTTGCGGCTGGGATGGAAAAAAAGAGAAAATTTGGAGGTGTGGGCGTTAGGAGACTTCAAACATGTTTTTGTTGACGTAATTAATGGACACCCCGGTGAGGCCAGGGCGGGGTGAGAGGCCTACGTTGTATGGCACGGCTCAGCCGGTGGCGCTGATTGCCGATGTACAAGCCGGGCTTGTAAGAGAGTAATCTCAGAACATCATGTGCGTTAGTTAGTAGAAATACAAGGATATGTATTATAACTACATGGATATGTATTAAAACTTCGTGGATATCTAGCAGAAGTTGGATGGTCCATATACGCTGTAGCTATGTGGAATAATCCATTTAAAACTCCTTGACAATTTTGTTGTTGTGGTACGATGTGAACTGAATTGGACTATATATCTGCCCTGCGTTATGATGTACATTGCATTGGATTATATGTGACCTCGTGAAATTCTTCCTTTCTTTCCAGGCTTAGTATTTACATTTTTAGTTTCTCAATATGAGGATTTAAGATCTAAACTTTCCTAATAACTGACTTTCTATAGCTCACACAAGTTTTGAGCGATGCAAATTTCAACTTTTAATTGTTTTCTATCAATAACTTTTAAATTCTTAAATTACTCAACCAGGTCCATACGAAATTGAAGTGACATTTGGTGGTGAAGCTGACCTACATAAGCACTTCACAAGCTGTGAGAAAAATCCCAGACATGAGGGATTCATTCCGGTTGAAAACTTCACCGTAGAGCACCTTCCCGAATGTTACCGAGACTCCAACTTAATATTCGACACCATCAAGGCCTTGGCCTCCATCACTGTGCTAATCAAAGGAGGGTTTATCAGTAAGGGCAGGTCCAAAGAGGACAAGGAAGGACATCCGTATCACTTGAGTCACTGTGGGGGTACATCCATTTCATCAAGGGGGACAGGTAAACTGACCCACATAAGGATAAATAAGGAGGAAGACGATAAAGAATGCCCTTGCCGAGACTGCAAAGAGAAGAGCACGCCCCTGAAAACATGGGGGTTTCTCTCAGTGTTCACGGCAAAGCATGTGATTTTTGACGATAGCGAAGCAGCGGCGGCGACCTTCGAGATGAACTACGAGTTAGGGGGAGAAACTGTGACAAAGACGATAGAGGGCGCTTGCCTGGAGGACTCGGGAACGGATACAGATTGGTGCCGAGTCGTGTGTCCTCTACACGATATCGAGTTTGTAAGGCTGGTAGACAAACAGTTGATCGTGAGGTACGAAGACATGCACAGGGAGGTCTTCAGGCGGTACTACAAGTCAAGGGACGACGAGAAGATGGTAGTGATTGTCTCCCATCCCCACGGGTGTAAAAAGCAGATCAGTGTCGGTCGATGGGTTGAGAGGGAGATGACGTTGCAGGCGTTCTTTCAAACATGGACCAAATACACGTACACCGCCAGCACGTGCTGTGGGTCGAGTGGCGCGCCCGTGTACATCGTCAAACCATGGTTCTCAAACCATTCGCACTGGGGCTCACATGACGGAACGAACAAAACAAATTTTAGCGGAGTCCACTTTGACTAGCATGTCTTATACAAAACATAACTTACGATAAAGTTTAAATACCAACAACTTCAATAAGACTGATGAAAATGTAGAGATACCTTACAATAATACAAATGAAAATGTAACGGTAACGTCAGTAATACAAATGGAAATATGAGGATATCAATTTTGAAATTAGTAATTAATAATTTTATAATATGATATATTCATTTCTTTAAATAGTTTTTTTCCTTTATTTATTATGTAAATAATACTCTAGACACGTACTGGTAATCATGTCCAAGTAATCATGTCCTAGTAATAATTTCCAAGAAATCATTTCCCAGAGATCACGTCCTAGTAATCATGTCCAATTAATAACGTCCAAGAAATCATGTCGAAAATCACGTCCAAGTATTCATTTCCAAATATTATGTGCAAGTAATCATGTCAATGTCATTATGTCCAAAAAATCACGTCCAAGTCATTTTGTCCAATAAATTACGTCCAAGTATTCATTTCCAAATATCATGTCCACGTAATCATATCCATGTAATCATGTCCAAGAAATCACGTCCAAGTAATCACGTCCCAGCAATCATGTCAAAGTAATAATGTCCAATTATTCATGTCCAATTTATCAGCTCCAGTAAACATGTCAAAGTAATCATGTCCACGTAATCAAGTATAAGAAAGCATGTCAAAGTAATCTTGTTAGGTAAAAAAAAGTCCATGTAGTATGTACATGTAATCAGGTAAAAGTAATCATGTAAATGTAATAATGTTAAAATAATAATGTCTAAGTAATCACATCCAAGTAATCAGTCCAAATAATCACGTCTAAGTATTTGTGTCGAAGTAATCATGCCCTAGAGCTAAGACCAAAACAAGAAAGGTCTTGCTGCGGGAGTTCTTGTTTTTGCGGACGATGCCGCTTTGGTATCTCACACAGCTGACGGCCTGCAGAGCCTCGTATCCAGCCTATCCGCTGCCTGCAAAGAGTTTGGCCTGACAATTAGCCTAAAGACAACTAACATTATGGCACAGGGCGCTGACTCCCTCCCCACTATCGCCATCGACGACTACGACTTGGATACTGTTGACAGATTCACATATCTGGGATCCAACATATCGAGCACCCTCTCAATGGAGGATGCGATAAGGGGGAGGATAGGGAAGGCCGCAACTGTTATGGCTAGACTGAAGAAAAGAGTCTAGTCCAATGACAATCGCACAACAGGCTTGCCTCCTGAGCACACTCCTCTATGAATGCGAGTCATTGACCACATTCTCCAATCACGAAAGAAGGCTCAATGGCTTCCACCTCAGATGCCTGCGCCGCATCCTTGACTTTAAATGGCAAGACAAAGTCCCCTAAACATATTATTATGTCCTGTCTCAAACAAAAATGTGTAGTGTCCCAGCCATATTGATCCAAAGACGCCTCCACTGGCTAGGACACGTCAAGCGAATGCAACCTGGTCGCATACCAAAGGACGTGCTATACAGCGAGCTGGCGACAGGGAAAAGGTCAGTTGGACGGCCTCGTCTCAGATACTTAGACAAAATAGAAGCAGTTGACTTTCCCAGGATTTGGGATGTTATGTTTATGTCCTAAAATCTTCCCCTGCCCTTGCCGAGGTAGCGTCAGACGCTTTCTAATAGGTATTTCTACAGTTGATCTCTGCCTCACAAATAATTTGAAAAACAACTGGGAAGAAACGGTTGCCGAGGAACAGCTACATCAATGACGTATAGAATAGAATCATGACACGGTTTTGTCGCTATTTACCCCATGCCTCAATCCATTAACGTTTACTGATCATCACATTCCCTACATGCACACAAGGACAGTACTTTATAAGAATCCCAATTAGTGCTTCCCCTCACGTCTCACAACCGCTAACGTGTTTCACGCCCCTGAACTATACTAATCATGTAATGACTCACACTATTTTACAATCAGTATATTGAAACTTTCGGAGCTCGAGCTGGTGGGAAAAACCCCAAAAGTACGTGGCAAAGAGATGTCGATTAAAAGGTAATAAAGGGGTAAGAAAGAGTTAGCGACGACGTCACAACAGGCGGTTCCGGCTCGTAACAGCAATACCACATTACAGGAACTGCTTATTCCTGCCAAAGACAATCAGGGACTGGAAAAAGCTTTCAAAAACATCAGTCGAGGCAACAACACGTGACACATTTTCTATTTCCTCCAAACCACAGTTCCCGATACCCTCGCAGAGCAGCCCTTGAAACCAGTGAAGCTTCCTTTTCAGTACCAGGAATTGAAATATCTCGAACCCCCTCTACACAAATAGGAGCCAGAAAAATCAATACATTGATCGTGGGTCCTTACGATATAGCAGAAGATGAAGATAGCCGGACACCGGAAGGCTTCGTGCGAACATGTTATTCTTGAAACTCAGCTCGGCGGCTATATGTTTAGGACAGTAAGCTCCCATTGTTATTGCTCTAAATCAGGCCTGCACAACATACGGTTTCCGGGCCGCATGTGGCCCGCCAGCACCCACTTTGCGGCCCGCGAGGTAACAAAATATTCTTTATTCTTATTATTTTCTTTACAGCTTTCCCCTGACCCTTTTTCTTTTTGGCCCGCACAAGTCCAGTCCTATTTTCTTTTGTTTTTTCTTAAAATATTACGGCCCGCCGTGCAGGCCTGCTCTAAATCTTCGGCTCCATGGACATGATTGACATTTTCGAAAACATACGTTTTGTATTTCTATTTTTAATTTAATGTTTACGTTTTTCTTGTTTTTGTATTAAAACAGCCGAAGTAGGCAACTTGCCAAGTCCGTTTAAATCCCCCGTGTTTTCTATATAAGACTCACACATCTTGTACCTCTAGTTGTTTACCTGACACTGCTTGATCGCAGCAGTGGCGTAGCTGGAGGGGGGCAGGGGGGACATATGTCCCCGGGCGCCACGTTAGGGGGTGCCAAAATGCGTATTAAAACGAATTATTTTATTTTATTTTGATGTCAACTAATGTATCCCAAATACGTTTGCAAGATTGAATTTTGGAGCTTCACAAATATCTTCATTACAAACCAGTTGGCAAACATGATTTTTGCGCCCCCATTGAGCATTAAGGGGCGCCATTCTGCTCATAAACAAATGACTCATCCACAATGTAGGATTTCTGATGCCGTTTTTTTTTAAACAAAGATCAATTCGGGTTCAAATATTATTATTCATAAACTGAAAGTGGCATCTGGTTTTAACAATTATACAGGTTGGATAATTTCGAGTCGAATATAGGATTTTACGTGAGTGCAAGGAAGATAAAATAATACTTCACATAAGTTGAAAAGAGAAAGATAGATAACAAGTATTTGTCTCATTTAATATTGTCTGTAGCTTTTTCTCACTTCCACCAGTATAAAACAGTATAAAATGTTGGAAACTTTCTCTCTGTGATCACACTCGTTGCTCAGTATGTTCCACAATTAGAAAAAACCTACAACATGCCCGAGAAAATCCAGGTTCAGTATTTATCTCTAAAATAAATTTATCCACCTACTTGCATCGACTGTAAGGAATCAGCTATTGAGTGAAATCAGAAAAAACAAGAACTACGGTATCTTACTTTACTCAACACCCAATCTAGGACACCGGGAACAACTTTCTCAAGTCATCAGATTTGTAGATTTTGATTGTCAAACTAAAAAAGTAAACATCAAAGAATCATTTTTAGGTTTTGTCCAGATACATTCCAAAGTCGCAGCAAGACTTGAAAAAGTTTTCGTAGAGAAACTGGAATCTGATAACACACCTCTAGCCAACTGTCGGTCACAATGTTATGACAATGCTACTGTAATGACTGGGCATATATCTGGCCTTCAACAGCGAATATGTGCCAGAAATCACGGAGCATTGTTAGTCAACTGTGACAACCACAGCTTAAACTTAGCAGGAGTACACTCAGCTAAACAGGATCCAGCTGTTTTCACATTTTTGGAACATTTGAAAGTATATATTTGTTTTTCTCTCATTCAACAACTCGTTGGTCAGAATTAAAAAGAGTTATGACAATCACAGTGAAGAGGGAGTCTGAAACACGCTGGCGTACACGATCAGAAGCAGTTAAAACTATTTATGAAGGACTAGATGAACTAGTAGGGCTGTTGAAAAAATTATCAGAAGATGCAACTATGACGCCTGAACCCAGAAGTGATAGAGAAACTTTGCTGGCAGGTATATTAAACTTTAACTTCCTAGTTTTGTTACATTTCTGGAACATCACACTTGGGAAAATTGATCGTGTCCAGAAACGGTTGCAGGATCCTACAATTAATTTCAAGGAAGCAGCATCTGATCTTGAATCGCTGGAGCAAGAACTTGTCAACATTCGTGATAATTTGAGCCAGGTTGTGGTAGACAATGGAAAAGCAAGATGCACAACTTGTGGAATCGAGGTTGACAGAATGATTAGAGGACATTGGAGGATGCCTGGAGAATTAGCAAGAGATGCAGGACTTTCTGCAGAAGAAGAAATGGCACGTGTTATGAACAGCGTAATTGATAGACTCCAACAGGAGATATCAATACAGTTTTTACGTCTAAAAAAGCAAAACACCAAATTTGGATTTTACTAGACTTCAAAACTCTTGTCGCTGAGACAAATGTCGATACACTTCGTCACAAATTGCTTAGATTTAGGAAATTTCTCCGACACTGACGTCAATGGTCATGAATTGTGCACATAAATCAGAGACTGCAAAATGCTGCTCAGTACCCGGACTGAAGCTCTACCGGAAACTCCTTTGGATCTTCTTGGTTTTACTGTTTCATATGGAGATGACGTATTTCCGAATCTGCCCATTTCATGCAAATACTTCTAACAAGTTGCTGTTTCAGTTGCAAGATGTGAGCGGTCCTTCAGCAAACTGAAGCTTATTTTGTCTTATTGACGTGCTTCAATGGGACAAGATCGTCTGAGTGATCTTGCACTTCTTAGCATCGAAAGAGAAACACTTAAGAATATTAATCTTGACAACGTCATTGACGAGTTTGCGACAGTCCAATCAAGGAGGATCAATTTGTTGTAGACTATGTCTATTCCAGTCATGTATAATTAGTAGAGTATTTTTTTTTCAAATATTTTTTTTACAATCGTATAGAGAATTATTAGTCTGTATTCTATTTCATTAAATACCTGATACTTCGAAAATGAACCATATAAACCGTAAAATTTCAACATTTTCTTGGGGGCTCAGACTGAGCCCACAAGGCTCTGTCGGTCCGAGAAGAAGCGCAGACTTTGTGTTATGTCCCCGGGCGCAGTTGACCCTAGCTACGCCACTGGATCGCAGTCCTACCTATATCACCCTTTACCGTAATCTCAATTCTGGTTTAGCCTGTTTTCTGTTCCAATTTTTTCTTTGTTTGCTTTAAAGGGTCTGGATTTAAATAATTTCTTAAAGTAAAAAAAAAAAAAATTACTTTCTTCAACAATTATTTGGTTATTCCAAAACTACATTTCGAAGAGATTTAGGTGGGTCAACACATTTTAGTTTACACTTGTCATCCTCACGCAAGCTAGGTCTGCAGGGTAGCCTATATTTAATGTATGTAGCCTTTATTTAATTGTATGTAGACTTTATTTAGATGTATGTAGCCTTTATTTATTTGTATGTAGCCTTTGTTTTATTGTATGTAGCCTTTTTTTTAACTATTTAGCCTTATTTTAATTTTATGTATTCTCTATTAAATGGTTAAATAAAGGTTACATACAATTAAATAAATCCTGCATACAATTAAATGAATGCTACATACAATTAAATAAAGGCTACATACAATTAAATAAAGGCTACATACAATTAAATAAAGGCTACATACAATTAAATAAAGATTACATACAAAAAAATAAAGGCTACATAAAATTAAATAAAGGCTACATACAATTAAATAAAGGCTACATACAATTAAATAAAGGCTACATACAATTAAATAAAGGCTACATACAATTAAATGAAGGCTACATACAATTAAATGAAAGCTACATACAATTAAATGAAGGCTACATATATTAAATAAAGGATACATACAATTAAATAAAGGCTACATACACTTATTAAAGGCTACATACAATTAAATTAAGGCTATCTACAATTAAATAAAGGCTAAATACAATTAAATAAAGGATTTTTACAATTAAATAAAGCCTGCATACTATTAAATAAAGGCTAAATAAAATTTAAAAAAGGCTACATATAATTAAATAAAGGTTACATACAATTAAATGAAGGCTAAATACAATTAAATGAAGGCCACATTCAATTAAATGAAGGCTACATACAATTAAATGAAGGCTACATACAATTAAATAAAGTGTACATACAATTTAATAAAGGCTATAAACAATTAAATAAAGGCTACATACAATTAAATAAAGGCTTTATTCAATTAAATGAAGGCTACATACAATTAAATGAAGGCTACATACAATTAAATGAAGGCTGTATACAATTAAATGAAGGCTATATACAATTAAATGAAGGCTACATACAAATAAATGAAGGCTGCGTACAATTAAATGAAGGCTACTTAAAAATAAAAAAAGACTACAACACTTAAAAAAAGGCTACATTCACTTAAATAAAGACTACATACACTGAAATGAAGGCTACATACAATTAAATAAAGGCTACGTACAATTAAATGAAGCCTACATAAAATTAATTGAAGACTACAAAGAATTAAATGATGCCTACATACAATTAAATGAAGGTTACATACAATAAAATGAAGGCTACATACAATTAAATGAAGGCTACATACAATTAAATGAAGGCTATATACAATTAAATGAGGCTGCATTTAAGTAAATGAAGGATACTTACAATTAAATAAAGGCTACATACAATTAAATGAAGGTTACATACAATTAAATGAAGGCTACATACAATTTAAAAAAGGCTACATACAATTAAATAAAGGCTACATACACTTAAATGAAGGCTACATACAATTAAACGAATGCTACATATATCTAATCGAAGGCTATATACAATTAAATGAAGACTGCATACAATTAAATAAAGGCTATATACAATTAAATAAAGGCTACATACAATTAAATAAAGGCTACATACAATTAAATAAAGGCTACATCCAATTTAATAGAGGCTACATACAATTAAATTAAGGCTTCATAGATTAAATAAAGGCTACATACAATAAAATAAAGGCTACATTCAATTAAATAAAGGCTACATACAATTAAATAAAGGCTACATACAATTAAATAAAGGCTACAAACAATTAAATAAAGGCTACATACAATTTATTAAAGGCTACATAAAATTAATTTAAGGCCACGTAAAATTAAATAAAGGCTACATACAATTAAATAAAGGATTTATACAATTTAATAAAGGCTACATGCAATTATATAAAGAATACATACAATTAAATAAAGACTACATACAATTTTAAAAAAAATTTATACAATTAAATAAAGGATTTATACAATTAAATAAAGGCTACATACAATTAAATAAAGGCTACATACAATTAAATAAAAGCTAAATACAATTAAATAAAGGCTAAATTTCAAATTTTTAAAGACTACATACAATTAAATTAAGGCTACCTACAAATAAATAAAGGCTACATACAATTAAATAAAGGCTACAAACAATTAAATGAATGCTACATACACTTCATTGAAGGCTACATACAATTAAATGAAGGCTTCATACGATTAAATGAAGGCTGCATACAATTTTTAAAGGCAACATACATTAAATTAAGGCTACCTACAATTAAATAAAGGCTATATACAACTAAA